AGAAACAGTACAGAGGGCAGCTACTCGTGCAATTTCAGAACTTTGGGATTTGCCGTGCAAAGCGTGGCTTGAAAAGCTGGACATCTTTACTATGTCCTATATTAGATTAAGGGGAGATCTAATTTTGATGTACAAAATACTGAGAAATGATTTTTGACTTAACTTATCCTCTTTTTCTTCCCACTAGATCAGGACATCTCAGAGGACATAGCAGGCGAGTAGAAAAGCGAAGAACGAGCAAAATACCGGTGGCATACAGGTTTTCACACCGAGTGCTGAGTAAATTTCATTGTTTTGATCGTTTATTACGTATCAAGACTACTGTTTACACTTTAATTTCATTTATTTCAGTTAAAGTATTCGACTAAAGTACTGTATTTACCGTTCTCTCAATTAGTTTTATCGTTGGTACCCTTGAGTACCTCATTTTCAATTGTATCTGCTAGTACTTTTGGTCCTAACAATCTACAGTTCTTCACTTTTTGGTCATTGATTATTTTTTTGTTTCTGACCATCATCGCATCTCGTTCCTCTTTAAAAAGGACTTTTTTAAAATGACCGGACAGTGTAAAAAATGCAGTTGCCAACGTCCGGGTTGTCGTTATCCCGTTGAAAGCGGAATGCAGTGCGACGAGTGCAAAAGTTGGTACCACGAAGTTTGCACGGACTGAACGCCTGCGGCTTTCAAACGGTTCAGTAAGAAAGGTTGCGTATGGCTTTGTCATCTGTGCTGTTCGGATGCAAAGAATCCGTAAACCGAAGCCATCTCACTGGTTGATGCTGCAAAGAAGTGTTTTAGCAAGCATAGTCGGAACGCGTCAAACAGCATTCGGTCTGTCGACACGCAAATCAACGTGGAGGAAAATAAGGTTAGTTCGATGAAAGATGACTCATGCCCGTCAAAGAAGGAAAAGCAATCTCCATAGGGGCCTGCCTCAAACAAAGGCTCAAGAAAAGTAGGGTCTTCTGTTCCCCGTCTCCCAGATGGGCTCAAACAGGAAACACCTAGAAGCCGCAATCGCAAGGCTCGATCGGTTTCAAGCGGTAAACATAACCTGACCTCTCAGGTCGTCGACAACCTCCCAAAATCCAACACTAGGTTTGACGCAACCGTTGTTGCTTCTCCCAGCACCGTTGACGAATGGGTACAGGCTGTAAGGAAGAAAAGTAGGGATATAAAAGGGAACCATGCCCCCGTAAAAGTAGTTGAAAAATCGAAAGCTGATCATAGCGACAGATCAGTTATTTTTCATAAAATCAAGGAGAACGAGAGTTCTGAACCTAAAGCTCGTTTTGAGCATGACATTGTACTGATTAGGCAGCTGCTTAATCAACTCATGCCTCGAAATATGACCGGGGTCACCTTCCTAAAGGTGTACAGACTAGGGAGTCTAGCGGACTTGAAACCAAATTGTTCCAAACTGCTTAAAGTAGTATTCAACTCTTCGAACGAACGTGACCTAATTTTACAGAATAGACACAAATTAAAGGGTTCAGGAGTCTTTATCCGAAAGGACCTACCGTTGGCAGACCGTGTTAAAAGACGGGAAGTCGAGAAAAAACTACAGTTTAGGTTAGACGCTGGCGAAAAGGACCTGAAAATTGTAAATTTTCGGGTTGTAAGACTTCGACAGAGAATGATGCCGAAGCCACTCTGGGTGAAGCACGAAGCCACTTAAATAGGCTTCGGATCTGCTACACTAATGTCCGGAGCTTACTTAATAAGCGATCGGAACTAGGTGTACAGATTGATTTTACAAAGCCAGACATAATCTCAGTTACAGAAACCTGGCTAACGTTTTACGTTAGTAAGGGCTGAGTAGCTCTATTCATTAGGAATGCTATCCCATTTGCCATTATCGACAGTGTATCCCATGAGAGTGGGACGTGTGAATTAGCTAGTCTTCGCTTGAAATGCAAGGGACAAGAGCTGCTGATTGGTTTGGTCTATCGCAGTCCAAGCTGTGAGGTAAATGAAGTCCTGCTAAACAGTCTCAATACTTGGTCACAAAGTGGTCGATGTCTAATCCTAGGGGACTTTAATGCACCTATGGTAGACTGGGAAAATCTGCGAACTAAATCGTCAGAAAATTCCTTCGAGCAGGAACTAGTTGATGGGGTTATCACATGTGCTTTAGTGCAAGATGTGAAAGAAGCGACAAGGTACGATCCGGACACTGAATCATCCTTATTAGATCTTATACTGACTCACTATGAGGATGATGTTGCGAACCTCCATCATATGCCACCCCTAGGTAAAAGTGACCACGCAGTTTTAACTTTCGACTTCCATATAACTGCCAGTCATGAGGACGCGTCAGTCCAGTCCAGACCCAACGTCTGGAAAGCAAACATACCAGACATCATGCACTCAGCATCGTTAATAGATTGGACAATAGACCCAGAGTCCTCCATTGAAACGGCCTGGGACACATTTCGAAATTCATACTTAAAAGTTACCACACCTCACATCCCTTGGACTATACCAAAGAGCCCGAAAAACTCACCACCATGGTTCAGTAGGGAGGTCCGTATCCTTCTCCGTAAGAAAAGGAAAATGTGGGATATATTTAGGTTACTGGGGACTGATGAGTCAAAATCTCAGTATCGAAAGGCTCGGAACACTTGTGCCTCGACCCTCCGTAAGTCTAGAAAATTGTACGAAGGAAAACTTGTTAAGGAATCCATAGAATGTCCTAACCGTTTGTATTCTTATATAAACCAAAGAACAAAGAGAAGAGGAAATATTCCTGCTCTCTGGGGAGACAGTACTGCTTCATCATTAGTGGAGGACGACTTTGGTAAGGCTCAAGCGTTCTCAAACTACTCCAGCAATGTATACACCATAGAAGTACCCTTCTCATCAGTGCATACAGATCTCCTACACATACACTGGATAGCGTGACCATTGAAGAACTCGATGTCTTTGGTCTACTAAATAAGCTTGACATAGGTAAATCCACGGGGCCCGATGAATTACATCCTAGGCTACTGAAGGAATTATTTAACTTCATTGCGAACCCTTTAAGTATATGCTTTAACCTATCCATAACGCAGGGTCGTTTACCCAAAGACTGGAAAAACGCCATAGTAAGTACCGTCTTCAAAACAGGTACGAAACACAAACCTGAGAATTACCGCCCGTTAGCCTAACTAGTGTGGTTGTTAAAATCTTAGAAAAGATTATTCGGAAGGAGCTGTTTAAGTATCTCGATAAAAACTGGATCCTTTCGGAGAAGCAGCACGGTTTCAGAATAGGTTACTCTTGTCTCACTAACTTATTAGTGGCTCGTGAAAGCTGGTGCGCTCTTAAGGACCAAAGGTTACCCGTAGACGTAGCCTACATTGATTTCAACAAAGCTTTTGACAAAGTTCCTCACAACCGGCTGTTATATAAGTTAAAAAATGTCGGGATTGGAGGCAATCTATTTATGTGGATAAAAGACTCCTTAGTTGGGCGTCAACAAAGAGTTCGGGTGAACTCAATGTTATCTAGCTGGGGAACTGTGCTTAGTGGAGTGCCGCAGGGTACAGTTTTGGGGCCAGTGCTATTCCTCTTGTATGTAAATGACCTTCCTCGTCTCCTATCATCATCGGTCTTGCTATATGCTGACGATGTCAAGGTATGGAGAACGATACGATGTGAGGGTGATAGCTTAGAACTCCAAAATGACCTGAAGAAATTATCTGAATGGTCTCAAACCTGGCAGTTGCCGATAAATGCTTCCAAGTGTGTTGTGATGCATATCGGTCATCAAGGTACAGATACATACACGATGAATAACACTGAGCTACCTGTCGTCCAGACACATAATGACTTAGGAGTCATCGTTAGTCGAGACTACTGCACACTGCCGTGCAATAGCCGCCAAAGGTTTTAGAACGTTATGGTCAATACGTAGGGCTTTTAGTCATGTCGACGCTAAGACATTTTTGACTTTATATACAGTGATTGTACGTCCTAAACTTGAGTACTGCATACAAGCGGCCAGCCCCTGCTTAAAAAAGATAGTAAGCTTCTGGAAAAGGTTCAGAGAACGGCGACTAAGCTGATTCCTGGAATAGCGAAGCTTCCGTATGAAACTCGGCTGGCCAAGCTGAACCTTTTCCTGTTGTCATATCGCAGAACTAGAGGCGACTTGATTACAGTTTTCAAATTGCTTAGTGCCAAATTTGTACCTGATATGCCCTCATTTTTCTTGTCTTCCAAAAAAGAGAAATTATGAGGACACTCCAAAAAAGTTCACAAGCCAAGAACAAATTACTTGTCAGCTGACTACCGACTTTCTCATCGAATCATCAACGAGTGGAACTCATCACCTGAGCACGTGGATGAGGCTCCATCCATCGATCCTTTCAAAAGAAAGTTGGATCAACTGAGGGACCACCATTGCTAGGACTAACACAGGCCATCAGGCCTCCTGTCCTTCCCAAACTGAAACTGAGTCATCAATACTTGGAACCTGCTGCCCGAAACTGTGGTGTCCGCACGTTCAATTGACTCTTTCAAGAGAAGACTGGACACTCACAGAAGCATACTAGAAAAGGAATAACATAGGCCGTAGGCCTTCTGTCCTTACTACACAAATCTGAATCTGAATCAGTAAGTGGCATATTCAAAGGTAATGCGTCACATACATCTGTCTACAAATTTCCACTAAATACTCTATATAAGGAGGAAAACTGATATCTCCCTAAAAAATCGACTTTACCCTTTTATTTACACTATCGTCCCATTCATTTCCCGGAATGCGCCTATATTCCCCTAAATTGGTTTCTTGAGTATTCATTTTTAGCAATAACTTTATCATTATTTTGGAATTCATATATTTGGTCCACCAGAGAATCCTATGAAAATACGTTATATGATCAGAGTGAAGTCCTAAGTGATAATTACACTTCTATGCAGCTTTAGCCCTCGTAAATGACCGAAAAATTCTCGAAAATGATAGATATTTCTATTGAACGCTCGAATATGGAGTCAGCCGTGAACAAGGCCACTCGGGGGCAATAATACAAAGGGAAAGGAATGTAACAAGTTTGAAACCCAACGCGCGCTTCGATCATCAGGTTTCCTTAATCTCACGCTTGTGTTATTTTTATTTGTTGTCAATTGCTTTCGTTATTAAATATTAGCGTATTCTGTGTGCTTGCTGAGTCGTCGGCTCCCTTTACCTTCCCAGATAACCTAATTTAATGCTCCAACACACTAGATACCTTCTGGCTAAACTCAATCCTAATATAGACTGAACATTACAAGAAAGCCTGAAGCTGTGTTACCATTTTCCTGTGCTACAGAAGGCATGGTTTTCCTTGGAAGCTGCTCCGTGTGAGTAAAGCTTGACTTTAAGGACTATCCAGTGGTTGATGTGCATATCTGTTCGCGGTAGCAACGGCCCAGGGAACGATTTATGGGCCAGTCTTGTTCCTTCTGTATGTAAAAGACTTTTCTAGTCTCCTATCGTCGTCATTTTTGTTATATGTTAGCAATATCTAGATATAAAGAGCAATAAAAAGCGTTGATTGTCTAAATTACCTGGAGAAATCTGTATGGTTTGGAATTTAGCAGTTACCGATAAATTTATGTACTTGGAAGCATCAATTCCTCCAAATGTAACACGGTGGAAGAAAGGAACCTGATTCTAAGCAATTCACGTCAACTGGTTGGGTCCGGAATATATGTCCGTGAGGATCTCAGCCTAGCTGATCGTATTAAGAGACGAGCTTCAGAAGCAGAAATAAACAAGCGTCGCCGAGACGGTGAAAGAAACCTCGTTCTTAAGGGTTTTCAAATTGTAAAGGTTCGGAGCAAAACGATCCCCAAGCCACTCTAGGTGGCAAGGGAAAGCTCTCCACAGACTTAAAGGTATGCTACACAAATGTTTGCAGCCTACTAAGTAAAATTCCTGACCGTTGTTGCTACCTTGACGTGGTGGTCGGGCTTGCCTATCGTGATGAAGCAACCGAGGTATACTGGCTGGAACAACCGTTCCTCAAGGTCCTACCATGTCAGACAGGTCGGTTGAAGAGCGGTAAGACTAAAAGCAACAAACACAAGGTCCGAAGGCGAAGTCGTACTGCTGACTGTACAGAGGTGTGACAGCAGTAAGGTGTTTCCTTCAGACAACCAGCATGACAGCGATGCTGCCTTCCCACAAGGAGGGGTGGGGCTAGAAAAGGTCGACCCTAAAAATGCACACCTCGCCTTATCCCACGGGTATCCGTCTCCGGCGGTAAGGTCTCAATAAGTACGGAGCTAACACAAAAATTACCCCCTACACCAAACCAACGATGGACTCAAATAGACCATATTGCCATCAGTCATCGTTGGAGAGGGGCGGTAGAAGATTGTCGCTCATTCTGGAGTACCTGCTTGGACTCCGACCATGCCCTAATATGGGCACGCATCTGCTTGCGCCTCACCGGACGCAAAAAAGCCACATTAAAAAGACCCGTTAGAACTGAGTTGAATAACAAGAAAACCAAAAGTAGGTTCCAGGAACAACTGAGGTCACACTTAGGTAGATGTGAAGACGAGGCTGACCCAGATGTTGCTTGGAAGGGCATACAATCAACTGTGGAAACAGCAGTGACATCTATTAGTGACTTAAACCACAGAGTTGCAAGGAACCAGTGGATTTCTTCAAGGTCTGTCACACTGATGGATTCTGGCAAACTCGTCCCATCAGGTTCTGAACATGATGAAGAGCGTAAACAAATCAAATCTAGGTTAAGAAAAAGTCTAAGGAACGACCGTGAGCAGTGGTGGGTAACGAAAGCAAAAGAGATGGAAAAGGCGGCGACTATAGGGAACACAAGACAGCTTTACAGACTAATAAAAGAAACTGGAATTAATAAGTCAAGTGTAAGTGAGATTATTTCGGAAAAAGATGATACTCTCATCTGCTCCCAGTCCAGACGTTTATAACGATGGGCGGAATATTTTAGAGAACAGTTCAGCTGGCCTTCAGCTTCTCTACAACTACCCTCCATTCCCAGACAATGTGAATGGAACATTGAAGTAGGTCCCCCAAGTCTTGCTGAAGTTCAAAAGGCTATAGTTAATCTGAAACGAGGAAGGGCAGCTGGTCCAGATGGATTGGCTCCAGAGGTCTTTAAGGATGGTGGTCCAATTTTAGCCATTAGGTTGACTAATATTTTAGCTAAGATCTGGGAATTAGACTTTATCCCACCTGACTGGTCGCAATCACTTATCGTCCCAATATGTAAGAAAGGGTCAAAATCATCCTGTGACAACCACAGAGGGATTAGTTTAACAAACATAGTATCTAAAATACTGGCCTCGATAATTATCAGACGCCTAACTAAGACTCATGAACTACAAACACGAGAGAACCAAGCTGGCTTTAGACCTGGTCGTGGCTGCATCGATCACATGTTCACCATTCGTCAGGTTCTAGAACACAGGCATACCTATCGGCGTCCGACGATGGTGGTCTTTCTTGACTTAAAAGCAGCATTTGACTCTGTAGACCACGAGACTCTGTGGCAGTGTCTGTCATTGAAAGGCGTACCTCAGAAGTACATAAACCTTCTCTCCCTCTAAATGCAAGTTGTTGCTTCAGGACTGGTCTGCGTCAACACCTGAACTAAGGATAGGGAGTGAAGTGGTCGAACGCGTTGACAACTTCACTTATCTTGGAAGTCTGACCAGCCCTAATGGGTTGGTGTCTGACGAAATCTCAGCACGGATTCGAAAAGCTCATTTGGCTTTTGCCAACTTACGTCACCTTTGGCGAAGACGAGATATCCGTCTATCAATAAAAGGACGATTATACTGCGCGGCAGTTCGTTCTGTTTTGATTTACGACAGCGAAACATGGCCATTAAGAGTAGAAGACACCCGTAAGCTACTAGTATTTGACCACAGATGCCTTAGAAATATTGCTGGCATCTGCTGGGATCACCGGGTAAGTAATAGTGAGGTTAGACGCAGGGTATTAGGGAATGATGGTAAATCAGTTGATGAGGTTGTGAATCTTCATTGACTGAGATGGTTGGGCCACGTGTTACGTATCCCTGAACACCGATTACCACGACGTGCAATGCTAACCGGTGTAGGGGATGGTTGGAAGAAAGTTAGGGGCGGCCAAACCAAAACGTGGCATCAGTGCCTGAAATCACTAACTTCTAGTCTGAGCCATGTTGGTAGATGCAGACTACTTGGTTGGGGTCCGCGTGACAATCGTAACCAGTGGTTGGAGACTGTTGGTGACATGACTCAGAATCGATCACAATGGCGTCGGTGTATACACTCCCTGTCTTCCCTTAAACTAAGAGATTAGAATCACTTCATATCTTTTTTTCTACGAACCAATTCTTTCTTCTTGTACTATATCTCTATATGCAATCTTTCTCCTATATATTACCACCTTTGACTTAACCATTCCTATGAATCCGTTGTTCATCTTGCTGTGCTAATGAGGTATGGCAACCTGGACCGATGCACATATGTGCCTGGTCCTACGTTGTAGCTGACTGACTGATTAAGTAAAATGGCGAAGCTCAAGCCAGTTGTGGATAAGGAAAAACCGGACGTTATTGCTGTCTCGGAAACTTGGTTAACGTCAGAAGTATTAGATAGTGAAATCCAGTTGACTGGTTTTTTAACCAGTAGGGCTGATAGATTAAACCGAAGGGGAGGCGGGGTTATTCTGTATACGAAAAGTACCCTAACCATAAGATTAGCTGAGACAGTAGCACATGTTTCAGGGACATGTGAACAGGTGAGATGTAAGTTGAAATGCCGAAGGCAAGATATTGAAGTAGTTGTAGTATATCGCAGTCCAGACTGTGTAGCAGATGATTTTCTCCTAAGCAAACTTAAGTCCTGGTGTAACAACGGTAAAAGCCTTGTAGTAGGCGACTTTAATGCACCATAAATAAACTGGGTTAACTTAGAAGTAGGGTCATCAATATCGTCGTTCGACTGCAAACTGTTAGAAACCTCGATTGGACTAGCATTATTCCAACACATTAGAGATCCCACAAAATACGACTTAAGAAACTCTTCTCTTTTAGATTTAGTCTTCACACACGGTGATGACGTTAGTCAAATGGCTTTTCTCCCACCACTTGGGAGAAGTGACCATGCAGTCATCTTACTCAAATTCATGGCTGAGATTGTCAAACAGTTGCGCCGGCCCGCCCTAACATATGGAAGACAGATATGCAGGCAATTAACTCCGCAGCATCGACTGAGAACTGGGGAATTGACTCAAAGGCATCAGTACAAGAGGCATGGACTCTATTCAAGCAGTTATACAATCGGGTAACTCAACAATACATATCCTGAACAGTCCCAAAGAAAAAGAAGCACGGACATCCCTGGTTATGGCGAGATATTCGACGCTTACTAAGACAAAAGAAGAAATGCTGGGATGTTGCCATCCGCCTTGGCAAAGCAGGTACGATGGAACGCTACAGATCGATAAGAAACGAGTGTATAATGAAAATTCGGAAAGCTCAAAGAAAATATGAAATGCAGCTGGTACAATCTGCACTCAAGCAGCCCAAGAGAATATTCTCGTACATAAACTACAGAACAAGGATGCATCACTGAATTCTCAACCTAATTAAAGTAGGAAGTGAATCTGATATGATAGAGGAAGATCAGGAAAAAGCAGAGGTTATGGCTGACTGTTTTGGGGTAGTTTTCATTCAGGAACCTCCTCTAGAGAAAGAACCAGACCCAAATACAGAGTCAACAAACCAGCTGCTCACCGTGGACTTCGACCAAAACGATGTGCTTAAGGCTCTTAGCATCCTAAACATGGAGAAGTCAACAGGACCAGATGAACTACACCCTAAAATCTTGAGACATATTGCCCAATATATCGCAGCCCCACTGACTGTGATATTCAAAATGTCACTTGACCAAGGTGTGTTACCTATGGACTGGAAGGACGCAATCGTCACTCCCATACATAAAACAGGTCCACGACAAGTTCCATCGAATTACAGACCCGTAAGCCTCACCAGTGTTGTGATTAAAATACTGGAAAGAATAATCAAACGGACCATAACTGCATTTATGGAAACCAATAACTTGCTGAACATTGCACAACATGGTTTTAGAAAGGGTCTATCCTGTACAACGAACCTCCTTATAGCTAAGGAGTTCTGGAGTAATGCACTAGACAACGGAAACATAGTGGATGTTGTCTACATAGACTTCAGTAAGGCTTTTGACAAGGTGCCAACTAATAGACTGCTATTGAAGTTGGCAAACCTTGGTATTGCCGGACCTCTTTTAAAATGGATTAAAGATTTCCTAGTAGGTCGTAGGCAAAAAGTAAGAGTCAATTCCAAGTGCTCCATCTGGAGACCAGTACTTAGTGGAGTACCCCAAGGTTCCGTCCTAGGTCCTTTACTTTTTATAATGTACGTTAATGATCTTACAAGTATAGTACAGTCTCCAATGTTATTATACGCTGACGATGTAAAAATTTGGCTAGTAATAACTGGAGACAAAGACACATTTACTCTTCAGGCGGACTTAAATAATATGATGAACTGGTATAAAGAGTGGCTGATGCCTATCAACGCGGAAAAGTGTGTCTACATGCACTTGGGGGATTCAAAGGTTATTACGTACAACATAGGGGATGTGTCATTACCTGTAGTCCGGTTTCATAAGGATCTAGGGGTGACAGTGAGTAATGATCTTAAGGCGACGGCCCATTGCCGGAAGGTCGCAGTTAAGGGGTTTCGAACCCTCTGGGCTTTAAAACAAACATTCACTAAGTTGGACACTACAATGTTCACCACAGTATACACATCCTTAGTGAGAACTAAGTTAGAAAACTGCGTTCAGGCTGCAAGCCCCTGTTTCAAAGGTGACTCAGACATACTAGAAACAGTACAGAGGGCAGCTACGTGTGCAATTCTGGAACTCCGGGGTGTATCATATAAAGAGCGGCTTGAAAAACGGAACCTCTTTATTCTGTCCTATCGCAGACTAAGGGGAGATCTACTCTTGATGTACAGAATATTGAGAAGTGATTTCGGACCTAACTTATTCTCTCTCTTTCTTCCCACTAGATCAGGACACCTCAGAGGACATAGTATGGGAGTAGAAAAGCCAAGATCGAACAACATACCAGTGGCATACGGGTTTTCACACCGAGTCATCAATACTTGGAACCTGCTGCCTGAAGCAGTGGTGTCCGCACGTTCAATTGACTCTTTCAAGAGAAGACTGGACACTCACAGAAGCATACTAGAAAAGGAATAACATAGGCCGTAGGCCTTCTGTCCTTACTACACAAATCTGAATCTGAATCTGATGCATATTGGTCATTAAGATGGTTACATACATTGTAAATAACATTGAGTTACCTATCTTTCAAACACAGTGACCCAGAAGTCATCGTTATCCAACATTTGAAAATTACTGCACACTGCCGTGCGATAGCCGCTCAAGTTTTCGGACCCCTATGTTAATACTCAGAGCTTTTAGTCGTATCGATTCTAAGACCTTTTTGACTTCCTAGACAGCGTTCCTTCGCCCCAGACTCGGGTATTTCATACAAGCAACCAGCTCCTGAATAAAAAGACGAGTTGTTGAAGAAGGTTCAGAGGACGGCAACTAAGTTGGTCCTTGAAATCAAAATGCTGCTGTACGACGAGAGACTGAATAAAATTTCCTTGTCGTGTAGAAGTGATAAATTTTCATCTGACACGACCTCATTTTTCTTGTCTTCCAAAACAATTTACGAGGACATCCTAAAATGGTTCACAAGCTCAGAACAAAATTTCTGTTAGCTGATTATCGACTTTCTCATCGAATTATCAACGAGTAGAATTCATTAACTCGTTGCGTAATCGAAGCCTCATATGTCGACCCATTCAAAGGAGTGTTGGATTAACTTAGAGATCACAGTTACCATTACTAATATAAGTCACTCAGTTTTCCGTCCCATCCAAACCGAAACTGATGTGTTAAAGCAGCACTTCATCAGCGTCCCAATTATGAAATTGATGGTCTTACTGAGGAACTGTTGTTCATCAACTGTGCTGTTAATAATTTGACTCCGAAAAAAGTTTGGATTCCTTCTAATGATGAATGCGTCATTAAGAACTTAAGTTTTGGGTTGGCCTTAGGATTATGATATAAAATATAGGATTTATAATCAAAGTTTGTATTCGAAGTTATGGTATATAGTTAAAGTATAGGGTTTGGATTCTGTTTCACATCCCAGTTCTTAACCATAATCGTGGTCTTGATATTATAAATCCTTCATTTTTATATTCTGCTCTTAGGTTGACTGTATGGGCTCAGAACCTGTCAAAATTATATAAAGGGTCTCTCATGCTTGCCCTTATAGTTCAGTTGTATTTTGTGGTGGAGTGATAGACGGGAACAGATATATTTAACAAGCCGTACTATCGACAGATATGTAGTGGTTAGCTGCTCATGGTCAGCTTATTCACTTTAACTCCGGATCAGTCAGTCAGTCAGCTACAACGTAGGACCAGGCACATATGTGCATCGGTCCAGGTTGCCATACCGCATCAGCACAACAAGATGAACAACGGATTCATAGCATATAAGAGAAAGATTGCATATAGAGATATAGTACAAGAAGAAAGAATTAGTTCGTAGAAAGAAAGATATGAAGTGATTTTAATCTCTTAGTTTAAGGGAAGACAGGGAGTGTATACACCGACGCCATTGTGATCGATTCTGAGTCATGTCACCAACAGTCTCCAACCATTGGTTACGATAGTCACGCGGACCCCAACCAAGTAGTCTGCATCTACCAACATGGCTCAGACTAGAAGTTAGTGATTTCAGGCACTGATGCCACGTTTTGGTTTGGCCGCCCCTAACTTTCTTCCAACCATCCCCTACACCGGTTAGCATTGCACGTCGTGGTAATCGGTGTTCAGGGATACGTAACACGTGGCCCAACCATCTCAGTCAATGAAGATTCACAACCTCATCAACTGATTTACCATCATTCCCTAATACCCTGCGTCTAACCTCACTATTACTTACCCGGTGATCCCAACAGATGCCAGCAACTCCGGGTTATATTGCTAATACAGTATTTAAATTCAAACCTAAGTGGTTAAGTCATCTACATCAAACGCCAACACTGCAAGGTCCTGGTATGACGTTTTTGCTGAAACCACTCAATGGTTTTTGGGTCACTGTAGCAAAAAGACTTAATTCTCTTCCGTCGGTTTGTCATTCCATCTATTAGCTACTTGCATAATAGTAAAACACTTGTAACCTATTCACCAATTCCTCTCTTTCAGGTGCTCTTTCATCATTCTCAACCAGTTATCTTGTTCAGTTGTGCATACTACCCAAGCGCCGTTTCGGCGCATGTTTTTTGTGCCAAATTTTGCTTTTAGTTCACGGTAAGATAGCATTTTAAAAGATAATCTTACTAAGGCTGTTTTTACTCCATATGTTTGGGCAGTCATGTTACTTTAGCTCACTTCGCCAGCTTCCTGTTATTGCTATTTGTGGAGCCACTGGGACTGGGAAATCGAAACTAGCAGTAAGCCTCGCCAATGTTTTCGGAGGTGAGGTCGTCAATTTCGATGCTCTCCAATTGTATAGTGGGATAGATATTGCAACAAACAAAGTGAGTTATAGCTTTGTTAGATTTTCTTCATTTTGAATTTCAGAGAGTCACTGATGATATCGTGGTGTAAGTCTTGTGCCTTGAAGAATTTTCCTGCTTTAGTAGTGATTCGGTGGGGCAGTATTATTTCCAGTCATGTGTACTGTCAGAGAGATGGGGTTATCATGCAGAATAACTGATGTAATTATTTAGTGACTTTGTGTTGGGAATTTTAATTTAGTGGTGAAATTCATGATCTATTCATGTGATTCCCCTGTTGATCAGTGGAATAGTTTTTAATTTGAATACATTAGAAGTGTGTATAAAATCGGTGTAAATCACTCAACAGTTTCAGCATTGTATCTTTAAATTAATTCTTATATTTGAATTCTACCTTACTGACGTGGTTCGAACTTCTGAGTCATGTCTTTCACCATCAAACAAGAAGCGGGGCTCTAACTGCAGTAAATAATCATACAATTCGTTATTAAGCTTACGAATTACAGAATTAACATTCGTATAATGTAGGTATGTAGCAGTGACCATTTCGTACCTAATCAATTACTAGTTTCTTTGCTAACAGAAATGTCCTATGAAGCTTTTTTGTCTTAGATACCTAAGTCTCTAGGTTCCTACTACTGTGCCAAGACCAGTTTCATATGTGCAACTTGAAACAAAAGTGTGGCTGTATTCAGTTATCGATATACAATATAGGTTTGATATCTTCACCGTTTACTAGCATTCATTGACTGAAAGGGTTCGCGGTAAATCAAGTAAGGAAACGTAACCAACTAAATCATCGCTTTATTCGGGATTATGGACTCATTTTCAGACACGCTTTTGAAAAACTTTATATTAATCAAACATCTAGTTAGAGTTGAACATTATATTTGTTTCTAAAGACCAATTCTGATATCAGTGGATGTAATATCTAATTATTTTCATTTACTTATTTCAATACAAACATTGGTGCAAGGGGGCACCGAGTACATATGCGCCACAAAATAACCATGAGGTTGTGAAGACATAAAGGATGTAAATTGCATATAATAAAAAAGAAGAACAATGAACAGGAATTAACACGAATGCAATAGTAATGATAATGGGAGAAACAGTTCAGTTAGAAAAATATAACCCAGAAAAATTCTTTCAGTTAAAAAAGTTACGTTCACTTTTATGGAGAAAGTACGAAAAATCATAGCAGGAACTCTACTGGCTTCTATGTCATGTCTGATAACGTCTCTAGCCACTGAGTTGTACCATTTCTAGGACCACAACCAGAGAGTCGTGAAGGACCAACAGAATCCAGTCCTGTCCGGCTTTCTCCCATACCACGGCACCATGTCATACACTGACTACCTCTCCGCTTTTTCCAACCTGTCCCAGTGTCGGCAAGTAATGCGAAATATGGAATTCGCCGGAACGACATTTGTAGGTCATGTTCAAACCATCGAAGTCTATGTTTCAAGATGGTGACACCAACTGAATTATCGTCGCTCTGTCAGAACGTTACCGGACCTCTGTATTACTAACGTAGGCTTGCGACTGGATGTTAGCAATCCTCCGGAGACAACGATGACCAGACACAGAGCGGTACTTAACATCCTCAAGTTGGAGAAGCCAGGTATCAAAAGCATGGAGCAAAACTGCTTTCATCTAATACACATTTCGATCCAAAATTTATTTTCATTCTTTGGAAAATTAATTTTTTTTGACAGGCCGTTTATAAGAACAAGGCTATTTAATTAGTGCTCTTTTTTAATTTTCATTCTAGATATCACATGTCGAGTGTTTAGGTGTCCCACACCATCTTATAGGGATCTATCCTCCAGAATTCGGACATAGATATGATGTTCATTCATATCGAGACATCTGTTTACCGCTGATTGAAAATATAAGAAATATCAGGAAAAAGTTACCTATTCTTGTTGGTGGGACTCATTATTATTTGGAAGCTATTTTATGGCAAGATTTTCTAGCTTCGAAACGTACTATTTTCGATGCAACAAGTGAATTCGATAGGTATCTTAATCTGTTAATTACACTGGTAATTATATTCGTCAATTTCTTTCAAATTTAGCATATATTCTTCATTACTGGATATCCTTGGTTTTTATCTATTTTTAGACAGTGCATTTTTGAAAATGATAAGACATTTAGGATTAAAATGTACAAATTTGGATAGTGTAATATGAAGACGAAGATTATCCGAACTATGTGATATATTAGCGCAAAACATTCCGAACAGTCTGAGCACATGTATACTAGTTAAGAACATTCTTCTTACATTTCATTTGTCTAGTTGACCTTTTTTGCATATAAATGCTTTTAACAAGTATGGGTGTTATCACATTGTTCGAAATGTATTGCGCTGATATATCACATAGTTCTGATAATCCAAATTTATCAAGGGGACTAGTTGAAAATTGATAGTTTGAGGTATTCGTAAGTATTTTTCGTTTTACAATCCTTTCATTTACCTCATAAAATTCAATGGAAGCAGATAGTGACTAATGCTATAGTGTACTTCCTAACTCCGACTAAAACTTGCATTCGGATTGTACACTATGGTCACCAAGTAAAATGATTTGATGTGGCGATTGGTTGTTTTGTATCGGGAGTTAGGAGTTAGCTTCACTTAAATCGTTCATGGGACTAGTAAATGGTTGTTAACATCTCTAACCAAAGGAATAAAATGTTAGGGTACAAACTCTTAAAGTAACATTTTCTTTTGGAATTAGAGAGTCATCTCTTTAAATGCCCTAGTGTGGCCGAGAGTGGGGAGAGTCTGCCCCCCTCTCAAAATGCTCTAACATGGCCACGTGTATACAGACACTGACAAGGAAAACCTACTCACTGTCTTCTCGTCGCAGGGGTGTTGTTTACGAAATTGAGAGGACGAAAAGCGAATGTCCGGTACTTTAACCGAGTTGGTGGATATGAAGGATCGATGTACGGGAGTTGAAAAACCCTGATTCCGAACCGGTCGTGAACATGGGCTCCAGGATCCTGAGGGAGCGAATGATGTGTGAACCTATTGTTGATCACCAGCTACCACGGGACTGCATCTCCTTACGTTACTCCACTGCTTTGTGGATCAAACCTTTAGATCGAAGTTTCCGGGTGTGGCCCCCTAAGAGAACCACCTGCCTCGGTTTGGGCAACCGGGCAGTATTCCAGCCCACACACAAATCGAATGATGAAGTGTGGCGCATATATATTGTGTGCCTTTTTGTACCGATGTTTATGTGTTTAAATAAATAACAGGTTCTTTTTGAATTAAAAAATCATATAAATAAATATATGGAGCCCTAATTTAGCGTTTATTTCCTGTTTCTTTTAATCATTTACTGGATAAAAGTCTCACTTTAATGAGGGTTTTGTGTTGTTAAAATAAATTAATGGAATTCCGACCAACAGATGAACATGATGATACATTGTGGGTAATTGATAACTGCTAATGAGACTGATTGCTTTAAGTTTTGGTTGAACAGATAACCGAGGAGAATATATATATATCTTAGTAAAATGACCTGCTTATACTCAGATATTAAGATAAAAATAAACATGAATAAATATCTTTAGGGATTGAAGAAAATCAATTCTTTTATGTCACTTACTGTTCTATGATTTAAGATTTTCCCATCATACCTGACATGTAGTTCGTAACCATCCTTAGAGGGTTTCGCACTCAGTGTATGCTATTTCATCATGTTTTATCACATGGTGTTTAAATGTTAAGTCTAATTCACTGTTGAATGTAAATGGAGAAACAAAAGTATAATCCTTTTAATTGAATGCCACGTTATCCAGTTATTACGTTCAAGCAATGAAAACTGGGCAGATGGACAGTTTTAGCACAACTGTGAATTAATACAACTTCGTAATGGAACTCATTAACCGAGTTCAGATTCATGTAATCTGCTCAAAATTGCATATTTTGTGTGACATCTTGAACTAAAGTAACCGGAGTTAAGTTCAAACCTGAAATCCAATGATGAAAAGTGGAAGGTTTTACCTACCAAACTACGGTGTTGCTACATTCACAGTTGTATAATTAAAGAAAATCAACCAGAAAAAACTGGAAGAGGTTAAAACAATATTATCAGCATTATTGGAAAAAATCTGAAAGAATGGATAGAGTCAATTATAATGATAATGGTACATTTAAAGGCTTAGATGGTGCAGTTCGATGTTTTTTTAATCGTCTTATTAAGTCTCCTTTTTTTGAATCATAAGTTCAAGTCCATTCCTCAGATTTCGTTTTATGAAGAGATAGATCCTAGTCCCGACGATGGGTGGATTTTGTTTTTACATTAAGGTTTAGTTAGTTATTCTTAATCATTTGTTTTTGTTTGTTGTAAATGTATGTGTAAAATGGCATCATTGTTCATTTTTTGTCAGTTTCTTACTTGAATAAGCTTTTCTGAAATCACATGGTTTAAATATTCATTTGTCTAATGCCACAGTATATTATGCTTTTGAATGAGTAATCGCAATAGCGCCTTCATTATTTTCTAATGTTAACTGTAACTCAGTTAATAGGATCATCTAATTGTTTGCTCAAATAATATTTATTATTTTGAAAGTTAGTGTTTTGTAATTGTTTGAACTATAGAATAAATTATATTTTATCCTTTTCGTATTTTCTATGTTTCAGTGAAGTTTCTTTTGGGCATCCATTAGAATGCTATGATCTTTTGCGTACTCTGAAACCAGATGTAGCCGCACAATTGCATCCGAATAATGTTCGTAAAGTAAAGAAAGCACTTCTCGATGTTCTGAAAGGATCTATTCAGACTAAAACACAAACTGAATCGAATGAAAATATAGAAAATGTAGATTTGGGAAAACAAGTGTTAAATCGATCTATTAAACCTCGATATCCTGGAGAGTCGCTCATATTATGGCTGGACTGTGCTTCCGATGTTTTGAATACTCAGTTGAATAAGCGGGTGAATAGAATGTTGGATTCCGGGTTAGTTGATGAATTGGACACTTTTCTTGACAAGGTGAATGTTTTGCCAGATAGATTCAGTGAGACTGAAACATCTGATACGCCAGGTAAGAAAAAGTCTTTTGGACATATGTTTTTATATTTGATTGCTAATGGTATGGATTATCCCGCTGCTGATATTTTGTTTGAAATTTGATCAATCTTAGTTGGTATATGTGAATTATGTGCAGATTGCCTCGATATAGCCAATATGACACAAATTTATCTAGGATATTCAAAAATAAAGAATATTTGAGTGAACAATTGTTTTCACGAACATGATCATCAGGCTCTGCAGTCGTAAATCCATAATTATAATATTGAATAAAGCCATTAATAATAATAATATTTTACAAGGGCCAAAATAAGTCAAGGCATCCATTAATGAATTTGACAATGTTATATGTTAAAAATGGTGAACGTTTTCATCTGTCATGACATATATAATTCAAAATTGTGTTACTTATAAACTAGAAAGGTCATTTAATAAAAATCAGAATGATTTGGTGTAAAGTAGCAAGTTATAATGAATATAATAGTAGCATAATAAAGTAAAAAATCGTATGAATAAAATGCGTAGTATGAAAATTGCACCTCGTTAATAGAAGTAATAATAATAACAGTAATAATATCATTATGTGAATATAATATGTAATAAGAGGTGTGTTATCTAGGTAATTACGGTAAAAAATAATTCATGTGCATCGGGAAAGATGAGTGTTCAGAATAAGAAAGATGTAAACACAGAAGGAATTGGGAGGGGATAAGAGGTTTATAATATTCAGTTTAGGTATCAGGTGATCCAGTCGTAGGCCAGGGTAAACATAGAGGCTGCATATGCTCCTTCTGGATACATAAGTTTGATTTTCTGGAGTTGATCCAGATGGTTTCAGTTATGTATAGTAGTCGTAATGTAGCTCCTTGAGTTAAATTCTTCGGAACTTGATGTTAAACAGAGAAGGCTTTATCTATTTTGATATGATGTTCACTATCTCCCAAGTGAGAAAGAATGGTACTGTTAATAGACTTAGTGATTTGTTTTTCCGAACCACGCTGGTACATGTTCACGAACACGCAAGAATAAAGCCCTCTGAGTACGGCCTATGTAACTAGCTCCATATGGGCAGTTGAATTGGTATACACACATATAGAGGAGCCCATCATCAGTAACTTACCCTTGATTTGTTGTGTAAGTACTGGTTTGGTTGGAAAAATTACGTGTAACTTGGAGGCGTGAATTGTCCTTTCAACAGATATCTATCTATTAATAGATAGATGCACTGAAGAACACAACGAAATAACAGCTACCCACGGAATACAATGGACGGCAGCATTCCTACAACTGAACAACATATGGAACTCAAAACAACTATTAATCAATATCAAAGTGAGAATCTTCAATAAGAACGTCAAGGCATTTCTACTGTGCAGAGCTGAAACGGAGAATTACCACAACCATCGTCAAGCATGTACAAGTATTTATAAATAGTTGTCTACACAAGATACTAAATATCCGGTGACTGGATACCATCAGCAGTAGCCTACTACAGTAGAGAAAAAAACAGTTTCTAACTGAAGAGAAAATTAGGAAACTTGTTGGAAGTGGATAGGACATACATTACAGAAACTATCAAACTGCATCTCGAGGTAATTGTTAACTTGAAATTTCAAACGGAAACGGAAAAGAGGAAGGCCGAAGAACACATTGCGTCGGGAATCGGAAGCAGACATAAAAAAGATGAATAACAACTGGGAAGGATTGTCCAGGATAGAGTTGAATGGAGAATGCTTTTGGGAGGTCTATGTCCCTCCACGGGGGGTAACAGGCGTGAGTAGGTAAGATAATCTTATCAGAAAATTCCTATCAGAAGGTATTAAAAAAGAAGAAACTGTGACTCAGTCGGTAGAAAAACCCTTTATCTGGAACTGGGTGACATTTTAAGACGTCGACTCAAAAGATGTTATATATCCGTTAATCAAGTATATTTACCACTGTTATATTAGGTTTAGTTTTTTTCTACAGTATTTCGATTTTTTGAGCGTTTTTATTAAATAAAAACCATTACTGTTTCAGAGATATTTTCTCAACTACTCTAAATAGATTACCATTGCCAGCTTTATTGATAAGTAGTTAATGTGAAATGACTTAAGTAGGATTAGACTACGTTGAATGCTTTTGATCGAGAGCTAAATACTAAACACTTTCGGGAGTGAGAGAGAGAGAGAGGGGGTGAAAGCTAGCATGAATTTAGTATGGGTTCGAACTGTTTGCTTCTGAATTATTGATGTAGTGTTGTACCGGCTAATCGACTAGAATAAGCTACTCTAAACCGCAAGTTTGTTTGAATTTTTTTATCTTTTGACTAAAAACGTTCGAACCTTAATATTGTCAAATTATGACCTTATATGTCCTTAATAACAAGGGTAATGCATGCATCAGGATGTTTCCGATTAACGTTCAGTACAAAGTATCTGTATGCTATTTATTTATATATTTGTGCACATAAACATTGGTACGATGGGGCACTAAGTACATATGCACCACAAAATAACAGTGAGGCTAGTAACAGTTTTCATTGGTTTGTGTGAGGGCTGTGATACTGCCCGGTTGTCCAAACCGAAGCAGGTGGTTCTCTTAGGGGGCCACACCCGGAAACTTCGATCTAAAGGTTTGATCCACAAAGCAGTGGAGTAACGTAAGGAGATGCAGTCCCGTGGTAGCTGGTGATCAACAATAGGTTCACACATCATTCGCTCCCTCAGGATCCTGGAGCCCATGTTCACGACCGGTTCGGAATCAGGGTTTTTCAACTCCCGTACATCGATCCTTCATATCCACCAACTCGGTTAAAGTACCGGACATTCGCTTTTCGTCCTCTCAATTTCGTAAACAACACCCCTGCGACGAGAAGACAGTGAGTAGGTTTTCCTTGTCAGTGTCTGTATACACGTGGCCATGTTAGAGCATTTTGAGATGGGGGTAGACTTTCCCCACCCTTGACCGTAACAGGGCATTTGGGGCATTTGTGTGTTAGTGATGTGTTAAGTACAACCCTGACACTTCTAACTGATTGTTTTCATCCATCGGCATTCGAGTGGAAGTGAGCACAGCACTTCTTCAACCTAATGAAATTCTTCAGGAATAAGTGCTTTGGGATGCTCTGTAGAACGACAATGAAAGCTTCTCCTCCTCCTCCTCCTCTAGTTTGAAGAAGACAGCGTTTTTAAAAGCATCCACTTAAACTGTAAATCTCTATGATTTCAGAATTATACAGCCAGTTTAAGTAGAACTGAAATGTTTTCCTATTCAACAGAAGAGATGCATATATATATATATATATATATATATATATATATATATATATATATATATATAGTTAATCATTTTTGGTTATTCCGACTTGTAGTAATATACCGGACTAGCTATCTATTGTTACGATCAGTGAGATGAATACATAGGTAACTCCGAGCTGTTAAGTCATCACAAGTTAGGCTAAGATTAAAAGTTTATATAGGTCAGTCCCGGTTAATCAACTTACTACATAAACAAGCATCGAAACTGATGTGATGATCGATATATATTCATGTGCTAGTAAACACGGGTAAATGAGTAGTATTGAAGCTGAGTGCAATCATTATGGCTGTTACGAACCCTGCCACTTTCGGTTTTAAACATCATTATGGCTATAATTCTTCATTTCATTTTGCTAAATTCAGACATTGCAAAACGAACTCGAGTGGAAAAATTAAGGGCATTGTTTGCTCAAGAGTTGGAGTCAGTCTCAGATCCTATGACTCGTCGTGGCCTACTTCAAAGTATCGGACTCAAAGAATTTTCAGATTATTTAGCTTTATTACCAGAAGAACGTGACACTACTGAGGCAAATACTCTTCTGAAGCAAGCAACAGAGAATGTTAAAACAGCCACTCGACAGTATGCTCGTCGTCAGGTGATTATATTTCTTTTTTTATTAGTATTTCTCTGTTGAAGGGTTATAGCTAATCGTGTTTGCATTGTTGACTTGGTTGGTTTTAATTTTTATAAACTCAGTAGTCTGTTCATAGTTTGAACCAAGTTTATGTCAATTAGTAATTTTCGTAGATGCATTTGTGGCTTTAATTCTTTTATTATTTTTTGTTCACCTACAATACTACTTTACAAAATTTAGTATACTGTATATTTAGTGTGCAAAATTTAGCATAGTTATGCAATAAATCAAAGTGAACTGAAAAATAAATATCACTCACTAATCATTTACAGAATTCCATATTTTATTGACTTACCTTAACATACAGATTTTGTAATATTTGTATAATTATTGCATCATTTCAATGTACATAGCTTCCTTAATCATCTTGATGAGAACAAGAATGAAGATGTTTGAACATATTAACATGAATCCATGTTATTTCGTTAGGTTCTCTTTATCTTTTTACAACATGTATTATTAAAAAATTCTAAGTACAAAACAAGTCGAAAATTACTAAAACGTTATCTATACATTTAAATTACTTAATCCTTTAAACTAGCTTATATGGTAGATAAACTGTAGAATTTTAATCCTTAATAATTTGTTTGTTTTAAAATTATTTCACTGGGATCGGCCTCCACAAATACGTGCTTATAAACAAACATATTTTACTACATTTACAAAGTTTAGGTGGCCGATGGGGACTCGTTGGTCGCAGGTCAGATAACGGGGACCGTCTACTGCAACTTTGCACAGACCACAACCTGTTTCTGGCTAGCACTAACTTTCGGCACAGTCATCGCCGATGTGCCACCTGGCGTCCTCCCTCTGCATCTCAAGCCTGGACTCAGATTGATCACATCGCGATCAGCTACCGCTGGTGTGCCCGATCGAAGCTGCTACCTTGACGCGGTGGTCGGGCTTGCCTATCGTGATGACCCAACCGAGCTATATTGGCTGGAACATATGTTCCTGCAGGTTCTACCATGCCAGGCAGGTCGATTGGAGAACGGTAAGACTAAAAGCAGAAACTCAAGGTCTGAGGGCGAAGTCGTACTGCTGACTGTAGAGAGGTGTGACAGCAGTAAGGTGTTTCCCTTGGACAACCAGCATGACAGCTATGCTGTCTTCCCACAAGGAGGGGTGGGGTTAGAAAAGGTCGACCCTAAAAATGCACACCTCACCTTACCTCACGGATTTCCGTCTCCGGCGGTAAGGCCCTTTGAAGAACGGAGCTAACACGTCAAAAGCCTTCCACAAAAAGGCCGTGCGCGACCGGCCTCAAGCAGTTGTCCCTTGGGCTCTGCGGTCACGCTCCCGGGTCTTTAAGACCAACACTAATCCAATTTCCTTTTCAGGTTCCTCAAGAAATACCCTTCCACGGTGTGAGCAGCCGGGAAGTCATATCAGCTCTCATACTCGTAACAGCACAAGAGACCAAGGTGGTCACATTCAAATCCTTCCTACACCTCCTAATACCTCTCTTATCCTCCCGACTAACCCTCCTCACGTCTCTTTATCACCTCGCACCGCTAGGGCAAACGATTCGAGTACGTGGAACGCTATTCCTGATCTCCTGAAACCACGCTCTAAACTACACGTAGGAGCTTTTAACGTACGAACACTTTGCCAAATAGGACAGCAGGCTTCCTTAGCTAAAACTTTAGAATCTCGCGCCATCGATGTGTGCTGCGTCTCCGAAACGCGCATACAGGATCCGAGTAGCGTCATTCATTTTACCTCACCATGCCAAAATAAAGAACCGACTCGATTTACGCTTCGTGTATCTGGAAGCCCTGATTCTGCTTCCCGTGGCCTCCCCGGCGTAGGTATAGCATTGAGTCCTAGGGCAGAACTAGCTCTCTTAGAGTGGATCCCAGTAGACAGTCGTTTGTGCGCTGTCCGACTGAACGGAACAGTAAGAATCCGGAAAGATAGGGACACTCGTCGTTGCCTCTTCGTTGTCTCTGCCTATTCTCCCACTGACTGCAGCTCAGATGATGTAAAAGATGAGTTTTACAGAAAGCTTTCGGACCTTCTCCGAAAAGCTAAGCGCTCGGATGTAGTAATAGTGGCCGGTGACTTTAATGCTCAAGTAGGTAAACTAAGCGATAAGGAAAGACACCTAGGTGGATCTTATGGTGTCGTGGCTCAAAGAAGAGATAATGGCGACCGTCTGTTGCAGCTATGCTCAGATAACCGCCTGTTCCTTGCAAATACTAACTTTAAGCATAAGGAAAAACATCTTTTAACATGGCGACCCCCTAATTCATCCCAACGTTGGACCCAAATAGATCACATCGCTATCAGCCACCGATTTAGGGGCTCGATAGAAGACTGTCGCTCATTCTGGAGCACATGCCTAGATTCAGATCATGCTCTAGTGCGAGCGCGTATTTGCTTGCGTCTTACTGGACGTAGGAAAGACGCTGCAAGGAAACCTCTTAGGGCCCTACTTAATGATAGTCAAGCTAAGAGTATATTTCAGGAACAACTAGGAAAACAGTTAGGCAGCCATGTATGTGATGCCCACCCCGATGCAGCATGGAATGATATCCAAAAAGCTGTGGAAACAGCAGTATTATCTGCTAGTAAGGTAAACTAGAAGGTTAGGGAGCAACACTGGATCTCAGCAGCATCTATCGCACTGATAGATTCTCGGAATCTCATTCCACCTGGCTCTGAACATAATGAAGAGCGGAGTCAGCTTAAGCGCAAGCTGACAAGAAGCCTACGCAATGATCGCGAACGGTGGTGGGTAGCGAAAGCGAGAGATGGAAAAGGCAGCGGCAATAGGTAATATCAGACAATTGTTCAGACTCGTTAAGGAAACCTGAATTAGGAACCCGATTGTTAACGAAACAATCTCAGAGAAAGATGGACATATTATTCATTCTCAATCCAGGAGATTGGATCGATGGGCAGAACACTTTAGGGATCAGTTCAACTGGCCTTCTGCCACATTTCGATTTCCCACGATCTCCAGTCGACCTGAATGGCAATTTAATGTAGGTCGGAAGCGTGGGAGAGCAGCAGGCCCTGACGGGTTTACTCCTGATATTTTAAGGATGGTGGTTCAGTATTAGCAGTGTGATTAACTGAGGTCTTAGGTAGAATTTGGGAACTGGACGTAATCCCATCTGATTGGTCTCAATCACTGATTGTGCCAGTCTATAAGAAAGGACAAAAGTCCTCTTGTGACAATCACAGAGGAATCAGTTTGACTAATATAGTGTCTAAAATATTAGCCTCAATAATACTTCGACGCCTAACTAAAGCTCGTGAAGAACAGACTAGAGAAAACCAGGCTGGTTTTCGACCTGGACGTGGTTGTATAGATCAGATATTCACACTACGTCAGGTTCTAGAACACAGACACACATTCAGACGCCCCACAATGGTAGTATTTCTCGACCTTAAGGCGGGATTCGACTCTGTTGATCGTGAGGTTCTATGGCAGTGTTTGTCACTGAAAGGAGTACCAAAGAAGTACATTAACCTTATAAAGGCTCTCTACTCGAACACAACTGGTAGAGTGAGAGCTTATGGCGAACTGTCATGAGAATTGATTACCTCAAGTGGTGTTCGTCAGGGCTGTCCACTCTCTCCATTCTTGTTCAACTTTGTCATTGACGTACTTTTAGTGATAACACTTTCCTCATCTAAATTTACAGGGGTTGAACTTCTATCAGGAGGTTCACTTGTTGACTTAGAATATGCTGATGACATAGTTTTATTTGTTGAGGACGCTGACAAAATGCAGAGTCTTCTGACCACTCTAAGCAACAATGCAAACATGTTCGGGATGCGATTCTCTCCCTCGAAATGCAAAATGTTGTTTCAGGATTGGGTTACATCGACACCCGAATTAGTGATAGGGAGTGAAGTAGTTGAGTGTGTCGACCGCTTCACTCATCTTGGAAGTCTCATCAGCCCTTGTGGTTTAGTGTGTGACGAAATCTCAGCACAGATACAGAATGCTCGACTAGCTTTTGCCAACTTGCGTCATTTATGGCGTAGGCGAGATATCCGTCTATCAACCAAAGGACGTGTTTACTGCGCAGCAGTTCGTTCCGTCCTACTTTATGGCAGTGAAACATGGCCGGTAAGAGTAGAGGATATCCGTAGGTTACTAGTATTTGATCATAGGTGTCTTCGAAACATTGCTCGTATATCATGGGACCATCGAGTAAGTAATACAGTTGTTAGGAAACGGGTACTAGGTAAGGATGGCAAATCCATTGATGAAGTAGTGAAATTTCATCAGTTGAGATGGCTGGGACACGTGTTACGTACGCCCAACGACCGACTGCCTCGACGTGCTATGTTCAGTGGTATAGGAGTAGTTTGGAAGAAAGCTAGGGGCGGCCAAACGAAAACATGGCACAAGTCCATGAAGTCACTGACAAGTGAACTGAGTCATGTTGGTAGGTGTAGACTACCTGGTTGGGGACCGCGAGATGACAGCAACCGATGGTTAGAGACCCTGAATGACATGGCTCAAAATCGTTTGGAATGGCGCAGGTGCATCCACTCTCTGTGTTCTCCCAAATTCTAATCTTCTGAATTCTTCATATCCCTTTTTTCCTCTTTCCAAATTTATTTCACTGGATTATACTCTTTAAATAACATCTCCAAACCCTAATCTTCCCTATTACTGCTTATACTCTTATTACCTCTACCACTATGGGATTTGAATCGACAAGTGCATCTCTGTGCTAATGTGGTGTGGCAACTCGAACTGATGTACGTACGTACGAAGTTCTACGTTGTTACTGACTGACTGACTGACCGCTGGCGTGGTTGTGTACAGGACTGCCGCTCCTTTTGGAGTACCTATGTGGACTCTGGCCATGCCTTGGTCTGCGCCAATCTTGCCTTACTTTTCAGTGGCCAACGAAGTGACCACCATCAGAGGATTGATGTCAGCAAGTTGGTTGCAACTTCTGTTGCAAGTAAGTATCGAACCGAGCTAGCCT